GAACTCAACACATGCTGCTGAGTCAGAGGCCTATGTCTTGTTGGGTTTTTTTCTGCAGCCTGTCATGGCTGCCAAAGCAGGGGGCTGGATGAGGGTCTGGGCCCTTCAAGAGTAGGCTCAAGTCTTGGTTTACTGTACAGAAGCATCTGGCTCCAGGAGAAACCACAAGCTGACACCACCCAGGGATGGGCCAGCATCTAAGAGAAAGTACCTGATATTCCAAACATTCCAATCATTGTACATACCACCAGATGTCCCTTTGCTTTTGTATGTGGGTTAGGACTCTGTGGTGGTCTTTTGGAGACTCTTCGATGTGAGCATAACACAACCAGCTAGCTTTTTAAAAAATTATACTTACTTACTGGGTGTAGTGGGACATGCCTTTGATCTCAGCATTTGGGAGGGAGAGGCAGGCAGATCTCTGTGAGTTGGAGGCCAGCCTGATATAGGAAGCAAGTTCCAGGACAACCAGGGCTGTTACACAGAGAGTTGTGTAATTCCATTTACTTATTTATCAGGTGGAGGTTGAAGAAAAGCCTGTAGGAGTTTGGTCTCTCCTTTGGCCATGCAGATTCCACGTGTGGTAGCAAGTGTCCTTACACACTGAGCCATCTTGACAGCCATCATTTGTTTTAGCTTCATTTTCCATTTCCTCTTGGTTTTCCCCATTATCTCCCAGCCTTTCAGACATGCAGGAGGTTGCTGTCATCCACTTTCTACAGGAGCTTTGGAGACCCATGTAGACCCATATTTGAAGCTCAACTCTGCCGCTTGCCTTGTGTGACTTTGGTTAGGTCACTCAGACTCTCTGAGTCTCACTTTTCTTAATCCAACCTTCCCCTCCAGGTCACTGGGGGTGTTCACTTTAATACACCTGTATCAGTTAGGGTTTCTATTGCTGTGAAGAGACACCATGACCACAGCGGCTCTCACAAAGGAAAGCTTTTAATTGAGGTGGTGGATTACAGTTCAGAGGTTCAGTCCATCATCGTCATGGTGGGGAGATGGTGGCATGCAGGCAGACATGGTTCTGCCTCCATAGTGAAACACCTCCTCCAACAAGTCCACACCTCCTAATAGTGTCATTTCCTGTGAGATTATGGGAGCCAATTACATTCAAACTACCACAACACCCAAACTTCCCTCATGGAAAGACTGCTTTGGGAATTGTTAAAACCCTGAGCCCTGGGCTTTCCAGGTCCCAATCTAGAACTACTAAGCCAGAATTCCCAGGAGGCAAGGCCTGGGGACTCTGATCAGGGAATTTGGGGGAACACTGTGTTGAGCTCTGTAAATCATCCATTGCTGTGCCCAGGACTAAGCAGCTAATATTCACTGAGCATGTCTGTGTGTGCAGTCTTTATAGTGGGGGTGACTGTGAACCAACAGAATTCTCTTGAGTGAAATGCAGAGACTTGTTCAAGGACCACTGGCAGTTGTCTGTTTTGCACTGGCCAGACAGGTTAAATGCAGCTTGGCAAGCTGGCTACCCCAGTTTCCTGGCTCTGGTGGCAGGTGAGGCTTTCCCCAGGAGATGCGCCTCTACAACCAGGCTCCTCCCAGTACCCAAGGAGGCCAGAATAGGAAGTTGGGTTCTCTGGAGCTGCGTTACAGGCGTTTGTGACCTGGGTGCTAGGAGTCAAATTCAGGTCCTCTGCAAACACAGCAGTATGTGCTCTTAACCACAGCCTCTTCTGGTCCACGGAGATAGTGGAAGAGAGCGCTTATGCCACGTGTGGTGGTGAACACCTTTAACCTCAGCACTCAGGAGGCGGATGGATCTTAGGGTTCAAGGTCACATGGTCTCCACAGTTCTAGGCTGGTCAGGGCTGCAGAGTGAGGTCCATTCTCAAAAAAACAATCGAACAAAAACCAACAGTAACCAAAAGGAGAACAGTCAGCTCTTGCTGCCTGAGCACAGTACTTGGAGGAGCCTGGTTGTAGAGGCGCATCTCCTAGGGAAAGCCTCATCCGGCGACCAGAGCCAGGAAACTGGGGTAGCCAGCTTGCCAAGCTGCATTTAACCTGTCTGGCCAGTGCAAAACAGACAACTGCCAGTGGTCCTTGAACAAGTCTCTGCATTTCACTCAGGAGAATTCTGTTGGTTCGCAGTCACCCCACTACAAAGACCACATTCATGTACATATACCCACACACATACCCATAATTTCAGATGAGAAAAGTCTCTATTCTACCACTATCCACACATCTCTGGACACCATGCAGACTGTGGAAACACCCTCTATGTTTGGGAGTGAGCAGTGGAACATCGTTAACATGAGTTCTAATAGGTCTTAATAATAAAAGCTCGGAGTCAGATATTGGGAAGGGTGTGTGTGAAAGCTGGAAGAGTAGAGAAGCAGAGCAGGCAGCCACTAGAGTTCATATCTCTACAAAATCTTCAGACTGAAAAGAGACGGAGTTCCTGTGTCCTCCCATCCATAGTCCTCATTCCACTCAGCAATTTCACTTCCTGTTTGTCTGTACAGACGTCCAGACCTCTGTGGTTATAGCTCCACCCTCTGATCTTCAGGCAAGCTTTATTTGTTAGAGTATAAACAAAATATCACCACAGGACATCATCCAACTGAACTTCGAGAATGGAAAGTGTTCCCATCCACATTCCAAGGGTCCCCTACTGAGAGGAACTGTTGTCCCCTGCTTCTGCTCCTAGACTTCCAGTGACAATGTCCCACTGGGTTCGGTTTTCTCCGGTCTCTGGAGGGTCTGCCGGGTCACTTAGTTTCAGACGTGCTTCAGATATCTCAGGACTTCTTGTCCTGACAAGCCACAGGGACTGCTTGTTAGTGACCCAGAGTGGGAATTCTTCCAAATGTGAACAATGAATTTCCAAAGCTGGATATAAATAGTCTTTGCAAGTCAGCAAATGAGACACAGCCTGAATTGCTCACCTCTGGCCTGCATCTGCTAGCACTTCTCACACAGGGTAAGCACAGTGTCTCTGGTGTCAGAGACCTGGGGTTTTAAGGCACTTCCCAGCTGAACCTCTGAAGCTCAGTTTCCATGTTTGTGCAATCTAAGACACTGAAGGGAACGATGCACTCCAAGCCTGAGGCCTAGAGGCCAAACCCGGAGGACCCCCTCTCCTCTCCTGGCAGTGGCTGCACCAGGAGATACAGAACTTAACAGGAATGAGAAGTCCTGATGGTATTGGGACATAAAACCTGTGGGTTTGGCTGCAGTCCTCTTACAAAACATTGAACTTCATCCCTTGTCCGCACAGTTCAGCAGAGGCATGTACCAAAGCCCAGAACAGGCATCCTGGGCTTAAAAAGTGGGTCTTCCACTCTTTTGTCATGTGACCTTGGACCTATCACTTGCCCTCCCTGAACTTCCAAGTTAGAGGGTGAACTGGGAGGCTTTTGGCTTATTTTCTAGACAAATTCTCCTGTAAGCAGACTGCGGAAAATCTTGCTGTGTAGCCAAGGATGGCCTTGGACTTCCGATCCTCTAGCCTCTAACTTCCAAGTTCTGGGATTACTAGGTGAGTGCCACTATGGACAGCTGGGGCCGGATGACTTCTTGGGGTTCATCTGTATAGCACTTGCCAGCATATTGGTGACTCAAGTCAGGACAGTGTGAGATGGGAAACCAACTCATGATGCCCCACCCAGCAGGCTACAAGCCATAGATGGAGGAGGCTAGGGACTTAGTATAAGGACAAGATTGGCTCAGCTCCATGGGTCTCTTCTGTGTGACCTTCTCAGAGACTGCCTGGCTGCATTTCAAGTACTTAGAAAGTTCACTCTTTCCTTCCCGTTCAATGAAGCAAACATCATAGGGATCAGTGCAACAGGCCTGGGTTTCCTTTTATTCCTAAGATACTCAGCCTTCCTCATTTATGGAGGAGTGGGTCCCAGGGAGACAGAGCATGTACTCATGTGTGCAAACATGTGGAAGTCAGAGGTCAACCTTAGTGGTCCTCTTGTAGACACAGCACATACCCCCCACCCCAGCTTAGCCTATGAGACCACCACCTGACCTTACTTCCAGAGCCAGAAGTGGCTAGCCTAAAAGAACAGGTCCTTTCAGAAGCACTTAAGAGTCATTGAACTCCAACCCTCCCACCATGTCTGCAAGGTGGTGAGGACTTGCTATGGGGTGCAAAGCTATATGGCTGGGGAGAGGTGTGCATACCACCAGGGTGCACCCACAGATTGCTATCGCTCTTCTGGAAGGTTTGAGGGAATCTCATTCATGACCTTTACAAAAATGCTAGGGGAGTTTTGTCTCAATGACCATCTTGTCTACTAGGTAAGAATCTACTATGAAGGTGTGAGGGGCACTCAGGAAACAGGCAGGCAGATCTCTGAAAGAACCACATACCATGGAGAAAATAGATTTCCCAAATTTGTCCTGATAGGCATCCTTACATTTACACACACACACACACACACCATAAATAGATTTAAATTTTAAAAGTATTTATCAGAATGTCTGCTGCAGCAGGGGAGACTAGAAATAACCCAAGGACCCACATATATGGCTATAATTAAGCTGATTAGAACCCAGCCACTGGATTAGCAGGAGCTACCGAGTGCTTGGGGAAAACTTACAAGAACAGAGATGCCCCGGACCATAAGTAAAAAATTAACACAATAAACACCAGCTGTAACTCTAGGGTTTGTTAAATAATGTTTTATACGTTCCTGAGTTTTCAAAGCATACATTCTTTTACAATATGGAAAAAAACCATGAAAGATATTCGAAGATATTAAAAAACAAATGCTATTGTTGATCTGCCTTTTGGGTGTTTTATAAGTCTTGTACCCCCCCTTTCAAAATGTAGCCTTTAAGGAGTACACATCCCACCCAGCCTTGCTTTTTGAACAAAAAGTCTCCAGCCTTGGTGTAAGTTACATATTGTATAAGAAAAGCTGATTTAGTAGGTTATCAAGACCCCCCCCCCTGAGGCCAGCGGTTGATCCTAGGATGATCATTGGCTTGTACAGACTCAAAAGAAGCCAACCCCCAAAAAATTGTATAAAAAAGATTTATTGAAATTTATCAATGACAAACAGACATAAAACTCAAAGTTTGGCTCTTCTCAAGGGTGGGAGAAAAATGGGTTGCAGATGGTCTTTGTACAGATGAGACATGGGGGGAGACAGCACGTCACTTGTAAAGCAATCCGGAAAGGGGACACCGAAAAGACACAGCATTCACTAGGAGGAGCCTGCGGTCACTTCAGAGTCCCACTCGGTAAGAAAATACAATTCTGCATTCCTTTTCCGTGCTCCAATGTATGAAAGAAGGAAAACGAAACAAAACCCAGTGGACATGCAGAGGCCTCCAGAGCTTAGATTTGTAAAAAGGGTCTAAGCTGGAGTACCTGAAATAAGTCCTCCTGTCATTTCTGCAAAATAAACTGCTCTAATAGTTTACAGAACAAGATAGGACAGGCCATGTTTTTTAAAAAGTTGAAATATGAAGGCTCGCTCATTTCCATTCTGATTACTAAACCCATTTTACTCGGATCTCCTAAGCCCGTCGGTTTTTGGCTCTCAGGATCCCAGTTTCAGAGTAACAAAAGTTCTCTTTGCAAAAGCAAAGCCCGCTGCCATCTGCGAAGGGGGAAAGGGGGTGAGAGATGGGGAATGTCCCCAAACCAGTGCCAAAATACGCCTTTAGGTTGCTATTTACAAACCCGGTGCTGGGTGCCTCTAGCAGAGACCACATGAACCAGAACAGAGTTACTGGAGATGGGCCCCGGGATTCAGAACAGAGTTACTGGAGATGGGCCCCGGGATTCAGAACAGAGTTACTGGAGATGGGCCCCGGGATTCAGAACAGAGTTACTGGAGATGGGCCCCGGGATTCAGAACAGAGTTACTGGAGATGGGCCCCGGGATTCAGTGCCTCCTAGGCTGTGAGTCACCCACCTGGTGGAGGCCAGCCACAGCCTCTTGACCAACTCTGGGGATGTGGGACATACCAAAAAGAGACCTCAAAGCCACCCTCTCCAGAGAGTAAGAACAAACACTTGCTTGGTGCGTACTAAGCTATTGCATTTACGGGGACAAAACCAGACACAGGAGAAAGGAGGGGGGAAAATAAAGAGTGGCAGTAAAAATAGTATTTTATTCCTCCCCCTCCCACCCACCCCGGCAACCCCCAGTACACTTTTCCCCTCTCATTCCCACGGCAACGCTACAATCAGAAAAAAATAAGTTTCGGGGGGCAGGAATAGGAGGGGGGAGGGGATATGGGTAAAACCAGTCAAATCACAATAGGAATTTCCCCAAATAGGTTAATTCCCCTTAGTCATCCTCTTCGCCCTCATCTTCGGGTTCTCGTTTTCGCTTCTGACTCCTTTCTTCTTCTGGAAAAGTGAGAAAAGTGGTCGTTATTAGGCAGCCATCTTTTAGTCAGCCCTGCCCCTACTGGGAACCCAGAGTGGCACATCTAGGAAGCATGGCCATCTATGGAGCAAGGCCTTGGATGGGAACTCCCTTCCGTTGTCGGGTCCTTAAAGCCCAAGTAAATCAATACTAGAGTCAAAGGGATCAGGCTGCCCCCAGGAGAGAGCCAAAAGGCTGACATACCACCAGCATCTTCCTCATCTTCCTCATCATCCACTTCCCCGTCATTGTAACCTTCTTCATCCTCCTAGGGGCAAAGACAGACAGCGGGATATCAGCTGTGCCCTCACTGGGTTGGAGCAGGGGAAGGGACCTCAGTGAGAGCAAGCCTGAGGACCAAGCTCCATCCCAGCACCTATGTGAAAGCTGGTTCCAGCAGTACACTTGTGCTTCCCCGCCCTGGAGACACAGACAAGTGGATCCCTGGCAGCAGTTTAGCCAAATCAATGAGCTACATACAGGTTCAGTGACAGACCCTGGCTCGAATATAAGATGGAGAGTAACTAAGAAAGATACTGGCATTGGCTTCTGGCCTCCAAACATTGTGTGTGTGCGCGCATGCACACACACACACACACACACACACACACACAAGTACATACATACATGAGTTAAAAAAAAGGGGGGGATAGATACCCCTGCCTAGGAAGGTCTTGTCTCCCACCTCAGAGCTCACAATAAAGCCTGCAGCTCAGGGTGAACACACAGTAGGGATCCTTACTGTTTTGTATCAAGGAACCATCTGAGTCAGAAGGCTTTCAATGCATGCCCTAAGACACTTCCCCCATCACATAAGATACTGGCAAACCACCTTGGGGATGGGGTTGTTGTGAACTGTTCCATGTTAGGGACTCCGAATGTGACATCCTTAGATCTCTGGCAGCTTGCCAGTGTGCAGGTTCTTAGGAGAACAGGCTCCCCAGGCAGTAACCTGTCACTGAAGCTAGGCCGCCCTTTCTTGCATCTGTCCTCAATGTGGTTTTGGCTTCAAGGAAAGACCCTGGTTTCAGCAAAATCAGAATCAGCTGGACAAGCCCAGCTCTCCTTTCCTGGCCCTTCCCTTTAGCCAAACCTAGGCAGCTGGGGGTGGGGAGAGACTCCAGGACCCTCGAGGACTTCACTTCTAACTTGTTTTGAATTCAGCCAAGCCTGTAACTTCATGCTCCCACCCAGGGCCCTTGCTCTGGGTACGTCCTAGGATTCCATGGTAGCCTCTCTGTACTCGAAGCCCTTGGTTCTAAGACATGCAGCTTCCCACTGTTTCTAAGAGCTGTTGAAGTAAATTTGCTTTCATGTCACTGAATAGTTCTCACACTGGTCTGTTTGCTAAGACTGTATATGTACGTATTTAAGCACTCCTTCACTGGCAACTGGAAACAGGCAGGTGTTCAATGAGATTACAGAAAAACAAAACAAACCCACACACGGGGCTCTTATGACAGGCAATATCAGTACCTCGGACAATCTACCAGCCAGTATGTCCCACTATGCTGTCCTCAGGGAAAGACATTTCTTCCCCTAAGTACTCCCTTAAAGGTGGGCCTGGCAGCCTGGGCCCAGAAGAAAGAGAAGTGTAGTGACATGTGAGCAGCTTTCTGCTGGCATTCACCACGCTGAGCCCTGGGGTAGACAGGACGGGAACCTGCTCTGGTGGCAGGTGAACTCGTGCACTATTAGCAAGGATGCAGAAAACTAGGAGAGAATGAGGGACTGTGGTCTGTGTGTGTGTGTGTGTGTATGTATGTATGTATGTATGTATGTATGTATGTATGTATGTGTGCACGCACACGCATACCCGCACCCAAAGGCACCAATTTCCTGGTATACCAGCCGTTAGCAGCCAAACGACTCATGGGAAATGCCCCAGCTATCAGGAGACCCTGAGTAGCCAAACTGAAACCCCAGCACACCTAGAACAAAGGGGATAGTGTGGACAGCTGCAACTTCTAGCTGCCATATACCCCTTGGAGGTCCCCCGTTCCCTCCCCCCCCCCCCCCCGCACCAAGGTGTTACTTTACTCTCAATAACCCAATGAGAAAGGTGGTGTGATTCCTACTTGACAGATACGAAGAGACTCAGAAAAGCCAAGTGACCTGTCCTAGGACACACAGCTAGGACAGGGCAGGGCTGGAACTGGCGAGATGGAGCAGTGTGGGAAGGGTGCTGGCTGCCAAGCCTGACAACCTGAGTCTAATCCCCAGAAGTCACACCGCGACAGAACAAAATCGACTCCCAAAAAGTCATTCTCAGCCTCCCCAGAGCACATTGGGCCTTTGCTTCCAGCACTCTCTACTCTGAAACCAACTTCCCCAGAACTTTGGATGTTTGTGCAGCCCAAGTCTGTACAGTAAAAAAATCCTGGAAAGGGGTCCCTTTCCCTTCCCTGGGGGTCGGAGGGGGAAAGGTAGCCGAGGCTCCTGGGTTGCTGTGGCTGATAACCGAGGCGCCTGGTCGGACGGCACAGCCCCCAGGCCCATCTCTTTACCTCCTCTTCTCCACTCACGTCCTCTTCCTCCCCTTCCTCCTCCTCATCCTCTTCCTCCTCGTCTTCCACAAGCTGGGCATATTCATCGTATTCCTCCTCTGTGGCGATGGGCAACAAGAACACAAAAGGGTTGGAGATGACTGGTGGTCCAAGTCTGCCCTATTCTCACCAGAACCCAGAATCCAACTGCGCCAACACACAGAAGTGTTGATCACACAACCAAACATGCCAAAACATGTTACAAGCTTTCCTCCAAGCCACATACGTGGAAGATCCTATGTGTGGGCAAGGCCACAGAGACACTGAGGTCTGAGCAAGAAGTTCTGGGTCCCAGGGAAGCAGAGAGGCTAAGTCGCCTCTTCAGAGAAATGACTTGCGCAAGGCCACCTGTGGCCTGTGTGGCGGAGCCACACAGCAGAGGCTTGGCCTGGCACTACGTCACAGACTCTGCCGTATACGACAGCACCATACCGTGCCCCCGGTAGGGAGATTCTCATAATCTATTGGAAAAAAGAACCTTCACCAAGGCCAACAGAATATGTGAACATCTCACAGGAGACCCCAGGCCAACAGGGAAAACCAAATGCTGTCTTCACTGACTGGGTACTATCTGGGCTCTTACTTTTGTTTAGGCTTTAAGATGTGCAGGAAAGCTGCAGGGGAAGGGATTAGGAGGAGGGACCCTTAGCCTCTCCTTCCTTCCCAAGGGGTCTGACATTGCCTACAGCCCCCAGCTTCTCAGCCTGGGGTCTCTGAGCACAAAGCTCGCCTGCATTCCTGCATGCTGCAACCACCAGGGGGCGCCACAACCTCTCCAGCAGAAAACCTGGTCTCCCAGATGGGGAGAGAAGTCCTCAGGCCATCCTCTATTGGCCTCTTCTCCCTAGTCTGGTGTCACACTAGAGAGATACACATAATGACCTTGCCTGGGAGACTTGAGAAGAGACCACACTTGAAAGGATGAATCCTAACAACTGGCAACTCTCAGGATATCTTTCAGGGACAACCAATAAGAACAAATAAGGACCAGGGAGAAGAGGTTCAAGGGCTTTGAAGAGGTGGCAGGTCAGTTGGCCCGGGGTTAGCCACCACAGGCAGTTCCCACTGTCACCCACCATCCTCATCTTCCTCATCATCGTCCTCCACGTAGCCTTCAACGTCGGAGTCAGGGGCCTCCTTGTTGTCCCTGTCGTAGCCATCGAGGTACGTGACCTGGGGCAGGAGCTTGAACACATTTTCTCGGTAGTCATTCAGGTTGGTCACCTCACAGTTAAACAGGTCTAGGCTCTTGAGATTCTCTAGCTTCTTCTGCAAGGGGAGAAAGGGAGTCAACGGTGAGGGTAATGGTGGACAGGAAGGGTAAAACACCCTAGAAAAAGGCAGTATGGACGGCCCCGCATAACAGTGAGAAGGAAGCCGGGCGTGCCCGTGTGTGCTCATCTTAGCACCACATTTGCCCAGACCTCAGCGCACAAACGGGGTTTGAAAAGTCTTGCCCAAAGTTAGCACTTTATCCAGCTGTTGCCTAAATGTGACCGCCTTGAAGCGAACCCCGGGCCCTTTCAGTACATGAACTGAGAACTTTGATGCACCCCTATGACAAGGAGTCCACAGGGAATGAAAATGACAACAAGAACTAACTCTTGCATCTAGTCATCACAGGAGCACAGCCCTTCATTATTAAGTCAATTTATCCTCCAGCCCCTGTAAGGGAGAACTAATCGCAGGTGTGTTGTGCAGCTGAGGAATGAGGGCTGCACTCAGTCTGTTAAATATGCTGTCAACGAGGGCGGGAAAAGAATCGACAGAGGACTCCAGTCTGCTGTAGCCTTGAATGCGGCATTTTGCATCAGGTCAGACCAGTCCTGGCCCACGTTATCTTGTTGGCTAGTTGGGAAAACCGAGGCCCAGGGAGTAAGGAGGCACACAGCAAACGAGGCAGCTGGGCCCTGAACCCCCAACCACATTCAACAAGGACCCAGTATTCCACAATGAATCCCTGTTGCCCAGGGGACCAGGCCAGACTAGGAAGAGCTTCAGGGTCATAGCTGACTCTCTACCACTTTTCCATGTAGACCAGGCTATTCTTAGCGAGGGGCCAAAGGCAGGGAGGACATCTGAGTTCCAGTCATTTTGAGGGGGCCCAACACCCCCAAGCCCAAACAGGGTCCAACCCTGGGAGAACAGACAACATCCTATCAATAACCAGGGTGGGAAGCTGCATGAACACGTGTGACCTGTGTGCAGGGAAGTGGGAACACGTGTGTATGTGTGGTCTCCAGTGGTGACCCTGTACGCTGCTTCATGAAATTTTATGCTCGGTCCTATATACACTCTCAATACACGAGATTCAGAACTTCAAAGATGTTTCTTTTCATAACAAAATGATGACATTGGGACTTCCAGGCAGATGAAAACAGTTCCGCCTTCTCCTGGGAGTGAGTGGGAGACCTGGAAAGAACTCTCTGTGGCCAGTGTGTTTTATTAGCTGACTCCCGAGACACAGACAGGGGTAAAATCTGAGCTTGCTGTCACTGTCACCTGACAGTCAGTGTGATCTGAGGGTATCCAGAGATTGAGGGTGCCTTGTGACAAGAACCCTGCAAACATAACCCAAAGGCTGGGCCATCGCTACTTGAAGCAGACACTTTGGCAGTGCCCCGGGCCTTCCTCAAGCCTATGCTGCCTGGCACAGCATAAGCTCGCTGGATGAGCTAATTTTTTCTATTTCCAAAGGATTTTTTTTTGTCACATCTTCTCGTGGTTTCTTAAAAAAAAAAAAAAAAAAAAATCCCAAGAAGGCTCCTGGAAACCAGCATCAGCACTAAGCCCCTAGAAGAAACAATGACCAATCTAGATTCCTCCCCTCTCCTCAAAGGCTGTGAGCCCAGACACACAACACCCCAGGCTGAAGGGTTCACACCAGACCAGGGTCCATTTCCCGCCCCACAACGGGTGCCCATTCTGTCCACGTGACCTTGGTCAAAGCTCTGCATTCTCCACAAACTCAGCAGAAACAGTGGTTCCCACCTGAGCTCACAGCATAGAATGAGAGCCAAAGAAATGGAGATGAGCAGGAAACAAGCTGGAAATACAAACGCAAAAGCTGGGCTACCCACAGCAAGTCCCGCTCCCCCCCACAGGAAAGGGGAAGACCCCGAGGGACTCACCAGTGGCTCTATTGTGCTGAGGTCTTTTATTTTGTTGCCACTTAAATTTAGGTGCTTAAGGTTCGGACATTTTTCTGCCAATACTTCCAGGTCCCCTGAGATTCTGTTATCGCTTAGTTCAAGCTGTATGAGGCGGAGAGAGGGAAGAAGCTTTTAACCTAAAGGCTCAGGGCCCCCAGCCTCCTGACTCTCCCCAGACAGCAGGAAGGGAACATCCCCAGGGAACATCCCCGCAGGTTGGAGCATGCACCTGGCCTCGCTCTTAACTATGCTCCCCGAGCACCAAGCACCCCCACCCCCAGTCTCCCAGGCACCAGCTGTTTACCTTCTTGAGTTTGTTTAACTTTGGTAAGTTCGCAATGGAGGTGAGGCCTACGTTGATTGTACTTAAGAATTCCAGTTCTTCAAACTCATCTGTGAGGCCCTTGATTTTGCCTTCAATTGACCGACAGTTGTCCAGGACGAGTTCTTTCACCTGGAAAGGGAAGGAAGGTGTGAGTGGAAGTGGGCAAAGGTCAGAGAAGCACGCCCCTCCCCCACATACACCCCAATGTCACATCTTCTGGCTCATTCAGATCAGAGCTGCCTCAGGCCAAAGGATGACCAGCCTACCCTGGTCCTCCCGCCATTAGCAGGACCCAGTCAGGAGAGTGTTGAGTAAGCTCATCTCTAGAACAGGGAGACACTTCAGAGTCATAGCCAGTTGGCTCTGCCGTGACCGAGGCTGGTGTGTGTGTCGAATGTGTAAAACAACATCCCGATACATGCTCTTCAACCCCAGTATACGAGGAAAACCACAGTCACCACTGCCCATAGTCACCAGCCACAGTAGTTGGGGCAGTGTTGGTGGCATCATATCCCTGCCCACAAATGCTACTCATACTCAGCCCCTGCCGTCCTCTCTCCCCAAATGCTTGCACAGAACAGTCACACTTGCTTTCACTCCGTCTTTCAGCATCAGCCTGCCCACTGAGGCCTGGCCCTTATCACCGTGATTGGGTTCCCCGACATACCCCATCCTCAGGGCAGCATAGCAGAACACCCTTCTAAATTCTCATGCCCAGACACCACTGCCCAGGAGAAATTGTCACCACAAAGGAAATGTTTGGTGCTGTCTAACAACAGAACCACAAGCCTCCTGTGGCCCTCAACACTTGCTGTAGAGTGACAAGGCATAGTTACTGGACCACACGGCTCACAGATGGGTTCCACAGTCCCTGCCTAGTAGATGGAGATGAGGAGACCTAAGGTGGCCCACAATGAAATATGAAGGCCAGCAAGTCCTCACCCACTTGTTATCCAAAGGAGGGGCAGGATTTGACTGGCGAAAAGTCACTCTAGTGAGGAAGCTCCAAAATGAATTCACTGCAAGGGCAGTTGCTGGTTCCAGTGAACACATCTAATGGATGATAGACCAGGGGAGAGTGGTCTTAGGGACAGTCACAGGCAGCCAGACCACGGTTCCCCTGGGCAAGCCAGGTGCTTGGGGAACGCAGCATGTTGGGGACAGAAGGAACCCTCACTGTGGTGTGGAACTTACGATTGAGCCTCGGCCTTCCCATGCTAGGCAAGCACTCTCCCTTTATTTTATTCAACTTTTTCCTATCTTTTTTTATTTTGACACAGGCCCTCTTTAAGTTGCCTAAGTTGAACCTGAATTCCCCTTTTATATAGCTTTGAAAGAAGGCCTTGAGTTTGTAACCCTCCTGTCTCACCTCAGCCTGAGAGAAGATGGCCCCTCCTGATGGCACTGGTCTCAGTGCACCCTGCCCACCAGGACTCTGCCTCAGAGCCAGCTTCCACCCTGCAGCCTCTGGGAAGCATCAAGGATGCCCACTGGGTATGCTGCACCCTCCATTCTTGGGGCTTCACCACAGGCCCACTCGGCTCCTAGGGTCACCACTGTCCCCTAAGCCTTTCTTTCCCTTGGATAAACAGCCCACCTGCCAGTCCCTATCCATGCCTGTGCCTCTCCCCAAGAGGACGATCTCCTAGAGTTTTCCTACAGATAGACGGGCTTCCGCAAGCCCCTGTATTCAGTCATTCTGCAGGGAACAGAGTCCATCCACTCCAGGCTAAGGCAGGGCAGGACCTGCCACTCTCAGAGCCCTGCGGAGCCCCGCCTTCCTTCTTCCCTGTGGATGAAGAAGGTACAGTGAGTACTCCATGCAGGACAGCACAGCAGGAATTCAGACCTCCATGTGAAGGAAAGAAGGCAAGGAACATCACCTTCCTCACTGATCACAAGCTCTGGAGCCCTGACCATGCTCCATCTTCTTGATGGATCTGAAGGCTGAGGAAATCCAAAAGGCCACCGGTCCGGGTCAAGCCACTCACTAGAGTGCCTGAGATTAAAATCAGGTGGCCCTCTCTTTGGAACAAGAAACTATAGAGCGAGGAAGCTAGGCTGCTGGGAGCAAGCAAATGGGGGGAGAGTGGCTGTGAGCAGAGGGACACAAATAATAAATGCTGGATATAATAATATAATATAATAAAGACCCAGTCTTCCTCCTTAACTGGTTTTCCTGGGAATCCCTGCTTCCAAACAAGATCCCAGTCAGAGACCGCAGACATAATGTGGTTTTTCCTAGAGCAGTCAAAGGCCTCTCCTCTTCATGCCACTAGCCAAAGTTAAGAGGACCTAGGATGGGGAGATAATGCTGGACAGTCAAAGGGAATCCCTCAGGAAGCTGCCTCTATCCTGGGGAGGTACAACCATCCCCCAACTCCTGCTGCCAGGCCAGTTCCCCCTTCCCAGCACCACACCCAAACTGGGGATCCCTCCTCTCAGGGTAGACACGCAAGTCATCATAGTTACTGCTTTTAAAAAACATACAGGCCACACAAAAACAATCACCACCCTCCCCCACGACAGACACATTTTCTCAGGCCACATAAAAAACACCTGTCTTGGGTTGGTGGTGTGGTTCAGTTGGTAGTGCTTGCCTAGAATGCACGAAACCCTGGATCCTCAGCACCACAAAATCAGGTGTGTTCAAAGTCATCATTGGCTATACAGCCAAGTCTGAAGCCAGCCTGGACTGTGCAAGACCTCATCTCAAAACAACAAAAAGAAAAAAAGAAAAAACAAAACAAAACAAAAAAACCACTTATCCTGAAATTCAGGACAGTTACAACAGTTGTCTGCTGGACCAACGTGGTCGATGCTGACCACTCAGTGTAGTGGTCCCCGGGAGCATCTGTGACATTTCGAGGTTTAGGAGCCCATGACTGCCTAGGTATCACCCCAGACTCCCATGGCACGTGATTTCTTTTCAGCCCTTTCCTGGTTCACCAGCTGGGCGGACACCACTTCTACTTCTGCAGTCCCCAAGGTACAGAGCTCACTGGGCCCCGGCTCAGATGGGTGGTGCCCCTCCCCCAGTGGGGTGTGGGTCCCCAAGGAGCAGGGGCTGCTTCCACTCCCTCTGGGAAACTCTCAGGTAGCTTTTCTCAGTCTCCTTTGCTCCTTCACCTCCTTCCTGACGGGGGTGAGGGGTGTCCTGCACTGTTCAGGAGGGAAGATGGAGCAGCCAGGACGATAGGCCCCAAGGTTTCAGTATTCTGTAGAAAGCGCACGCCACGTAGGCTCACAGTAATAGTCAGGTGAGTGGCCTGAGAAGAGGCTCAGATGGGACAAAACAAAAACCCTAGCCACAGTACCCTGTGTGAGTCATCCGGCTGTCCCCCTGCTGTCTCTAAGCCTGGGAATGAGGGGACTCACCCTGCAACTGCTATCACTTCCAATTCACTTCCTCCATACTTGGCAGCCTCTTCTCTACCCTTCCATGTGAGGAGAACATCCCTTTTGTATTCAGAGTGCGCTCTGCTTAAAAAATAAAATAAAGGCCCACTTCCCTTGCCAAGTCCTGAGTGTGAGCAAACTACAAGTTAAAATTAAACTGGAGATTTGTACTTCGGGTTTAGATGCCCTTCCAGTTCCAGCCATTTTTAAAACATCCCGAGGCAGCTAGTTACTGTCTGTAGCCCCAGCGACCAGGATTACTCTGCTTACACAGGAACTTTCAGCAGGAGGCAATCTTCATTCCCCCAGAGGTCATACCCAGGAGGAGGCTGGCACTCACATCCTGCTGGCAGTAGGGAGGTACCAGATTCCCAAGAAGTCAGCCTGCCCTTGCTCCCCTGTTCTTAAAAAACAAACAAACAAACAAACAAACAAAAACCTGGAGCCCCCGCCCCCAAGCTTGGGGTAGCCATCACTTCTCACCAGTGGGAGCTGAATTTCATGATAAACACTAACACACTCACTCGGCTCAAGAACTTGTTTGTTCCAAAACCACTGAATCTTGTCTTTACACATTTCTCAGATGTGACCTTTCTTCTACATCTCCAACATTGCAGCTCTGGTCACTGCCACCACGCTACTTCAAACTAGAAGTCTGTGACCTCAGGAGAGGATGTGGTCAGGCGATAGCCAGGTGTACCGGTAACAGACTTTACCCTGGATGCAAGACCCCTAACCTGGGCTCAGAGATACCATCTCTGTTCTCTCGAGTCCAGGCTTCTACCTTAGAAAGGGACGGTGACATCTGTTTAACCTAAAAAGCACACACTCCAGTTGCAAAAGAAACACTCACATCTCATTAATGTCTGGGAAAATGTTCAAGTTTCAAAGTGTGACCCAGAAGTCTCCCCTCATCACCTACCCTTGCACCCAAATCTAGTTCAAGTCCCCCTCCCAGGAAGCCATCCTTGTACGTGGTACTGAGCACACAGGCTGGGCTCCGGGCTCAGGCGGTTGCTCCATGAATCATTTAATCGCGTATTAAGCATCTGATCCTCCTAGAGGTCAGAGACTGTCCTTCCCCATAATCAGCCTAGCAGGAATGCACACCACAGCACCGCTTAGCAAAGGACCCCCTTATTGGGCCAGGCACAATATAAGTACTGGCAATATCAAAAGAGAGGGGGCAAAACAACCCTGACACAGAGCATAAATGGTGCGCTGTTAACGGGTGGAAATCAATGCTGCATGAGTTCTGTCTTTGATACAGAGGCTTTGGGTATGTGCCTATGCCAGTCAGCCCAAGCCCTGACTACATAGCAGCCACTACCCTACCAAACCCAGCACTCGGCACACAGGCCTCCAGTTCTCCCTCCACGAGGCACTCCTGCCACATTGTTGGCTAAAGGGACACAGAAGCCATGGCGAACCAAGATGGGGGGTAGGGGAGGAGTCTGCCACAAAGAGCAGGCGGCTGGTGACATGCTGGGAGATGACAGCTAGCTGGCAAACAGCCCCATCCCAGAGTACCAAGTAGTAGCATGAGTTAGGGACTCAGTATTCTTCCAACGTCCCTAGTAGATAAGTAAGGTCACTGAGGGCAGACAGGAGGTAGACAGAAAGACCAGGGGGAGATGCTGTCTTAGCCAGGAACGACTGTGTAACTATAGCCCAGTGCAAAATGAAAAGGCTAGCCCCTTGTTCATTCAAAATTCACTTAGAGGGCTGAG